CAGTTTTACAAAAGTTCACAAAAGACACTTCACGTCCTTCATTGACGTTGGAGGTTGAAGGAGAGCGCTCGCCATGAACAAATCCCATTGAGTAAGACACACAAATGTTTATGGAATGTTACAACTAAACGATTCATCTCAAAGAATAGGATCCTTTTAAGTTTGATGTTTACTTGGCCCTGGGTATAATATATGTGCCCGGAATATAAAACCGGAATCCCAGCGGGGCACAATAATATTGCGAAACGAGATACTGGAGTATCTGTCAAAATGTAGCAGTTGTTTATTTCATTGAAATGCTTTTTACTATTTCATATTGATGAGATATAAGAAGCCTATGTCTGCGCTTTGATATTGAAGTGATAGGCCAGTTCCGTATCTTTCAGGTTTTATTCGTTGAATTAACATAAACATACATTCGGATCTTTCGAATTGTACACATAAATATAGCGCCATCCAAACATTCCTGAAATAATAAAATAATTCGGATAGCTCTCCGTCATTTACACCTGAGATTGAATCATTTTCTGTTATAACTCGCCACTACAGTGGTGACGGCTATCCCTTTTTAGTGTTCGACAGGGTAAGTCGTTGACGCATTGCTGCTCGGAATAATTACCTTCTATTGATAGACTTGCTTACATCGTTAAGACCCTAGTATATCAATTCACTCATGAACATGAGTGAGTGAGTGAGTTGGGTTTAACGCCGCTTTTAACAGTATTCCAGTTATATCGCGGCGTGTCAGCTTAATGTGGGAGGAAAGCCCAAAGTGTCGCAGGTCTTAGACGTTTACCACTTCGGTGAAACCCACGAGCACAAATGGTGCTGACGAACCTAGAAACATAATCACACAATCATATTCAACGATTAATTAGAAGCACATTTAGAGATACTTTTTTCAACGGTAATTTAGAATATACCCTGGACACAAACAATACCGTGTTAAAAACATTTTCCTTTTAATATTGATGAACATGAAGTGTATCATTTGTACTTTACAGCCCATGGATCCCCAGACGATAGGGTAGAGGCAATATGTGATACAAACAATATTCGGGCAAGACATAGCGGATTTCGGATTTCGGATTTTCCGATTTCCTACTTAGTAGGTATAGGAGTCACGTGGGTGGGTGTTCAGGAAACTATTCTTGCCTAACATCAAAAGCTTACGTTTAATTCAAACTCGCTCTGCGTTGGCGAATAGTCATGACATGGATCGACTTCACTTTGGACAGACACATCGATTATTACTCAACGTCTCACCACTGCAAGTATGGCTCCATCAACACTGTGTTAAAGACATATAACTCCGACATATTGAAGCAATGATGTGTGGCATGATTAAGTATAATGACTTATGCTGCATAGACACAAGCACAGTATTTATCTATGACATACATAGAAAATATGGATTGTATGGGTTGTCAAATTCTGGATTGTGGATCCCGTCTGCATCACGTAAACATATCCCCTCAGGGACCAGCTTATCCGTGTCAAAACAATTAGATACCATACTATTATTAATGTCTACCTAATTTAAACTGTTCTACCTATTGCGTATCTTTTAACAGGACATGAACACATATTTACTCGAAAACAAACTTTATTTGTTAGAGAAAATACAAATACATACAATATGTGTAAAGATCAGCAAGTCATACACAAATATTTACACGAAAACAATCTTTATTTATGAGACATTAAAATTCTTTGTGGGAAGAAATCATGATTTATGTGGACAAAACACGAAACCCACCTCCTAACTTTAACTTGTAAAGGCATGGAAAGAGTTAGTGCACATTTCTGCTTTGTTCCGCCAATGAAACAGGCAAATGTTCTATGTTGCCGCTTGTTTTCCCAAGAAACCACAGGACAAGGGGTCAGTTATGTCACAAGGTAATCGGTAGATGGGGTAAAGAAGGCCCTCGGGCAACATTCCTAGATTTAGTTAACTGGCACAGATGATGATGCCTGAAGGATGTTAAGAATTTCCTCCCATTCAGTGGTACATCTGCCATTGCATCTCCACAACGCTCTGACGAGGACCAGTCTGGTGGCAGATCTCCCGTTCTTCTCCTTCCACTTGGCAAGCATGTATAAGATCTGCATATAAAGCGAGAAAGGGTGTGCAGCTTTGATTTGCTCTATTATAATGAGAGAATGTCCAAGTTGTGCTCCGAGGACCTCAAACCCGAAACCGATATGTCTTGCCACAAGATTGAGATCTGATCTTGAAACAGGAATCATTAGTGTTTCCTCGTCAACATCGTATGGCAAGTTGTGGTGTGATGAACCTAGGAAAACATGTTTTTATTAATATGTGATTAACATTAAATGGAATCTTGCATGATCAAATGATTTGAAAAATGCTACATGAGCAGTAACCTCATTCTGAGTATCTTTCGGAACGGCTACAGTGTAGCTTGCATGAAATGTAATATTACCAACGCAGTGTTTCATCAAACAAGTCGAACCAGAAATATATTATTTATAACGAACCTTGTCTGTCTCTCTCTTGATTGTGGTTAACCGGTTCAGTGTCTAGTCGCTGTAATGGAAATGTTAACAATATTCTAACTGTAAATATGGAATAAAGATGTACAAAATAATGAACATATAAATTGTTCAGTATAAGTGAGTAGGGTTAAAAGGGTTCATGTTATAGTAGTGAGTGTGTATTGGTTACCGGTATTACATTTATATCAAGACGTGGGGCCCAGTCGTCTGAGGTGCCGCAATTCGCTGTGCAGAGTTGCGTCCATTGGTGCCTATATGTTTCTTGGTTTTGTCAGCGCCATATCCGTGCTCTGGGTAAACGTTTGAGACCTGGATCACTTCGGGATTTCCTCCCACACTAAGTCGACACTCCGTGATATAACTGGATTACTGTCCAAAGTGGTGTTAAAACAATTCACGCACTTAAATTAAGCCTTTATCAATACGTGTCAACCTGGTGAGGGAGGTATGCCTGAAGTTATTACTAATATGCACACGAGCACCACACCCAATTTAAATTTTGCCATAGTGGAATTGAACTAATACAGCTTTGGTTATGTAAATATTATGCTGAACCTCAAAACATTAACAGGTAAAGGAAGCAATGGTTATTTAAGAATGTCTTAGACCTACCTGATACCGACATTCAGGCCAACATCGAAGAGTATTTCCCATTTTAAATGTATACACTATTACTGCATCTACTCCTGATATGGAAAAAGTTTGTACACTTATAAAGCTGGAAATCTGGAATGACACAGACTGTGCACTAGCGTACTACTAAAAGCGGTTAGAAGGGGATTCCCCTTCGAAGGTGAATATCGCTTTGGACGGGAAATAGCGGATTTCGGATCCCGGATACAAGTGTATGATCTTTGATTTGAAGTGAGGGGAGTAAATTGCCTGTGTAGTGATGGTATAAAAAAGCGTTGGATATTGAATGTAATCGTGTTTCATTAAATTGTCTACTACGCGATTTCATGTTTGCGTACATGAATCATTGGTACGGTTCCTGTCACATGTGCAATCAATTCAGTTACTTGTTAAGTTGCTTATCTTATTGATCGGCTGTAGAATAAGCCTTACTCACGCAAATACCTGTCTTTGGGTACTTAATATGAGTTTGTAGGTCACAGGCCAAGATTGCTACTTTATAAGCTAACATTTAAAATACTATCACCCATATCATCCTGTCCTGAAATGTTGAAATTTAAGACCTGCATAATTAATAAACAGCAACAAAAATCATTTCAGTTATGCAGCTGTAAGCTGTAATATCATTGACATATATATTTTTCTACTACAATTTCATGATTGTCAACGTCATCATAAAGCAGAATAAACTACATTTCATAATATATTTGATATAACTAGAGTGTCACATTTAAGGCTATGATATAATATTTCTTCACATAATACATTTGTTGGCGATATATTTTCTTTCCATGCTTCACTGTTTGCAATATTTGCAAACATCACCTGTCGTCAAAGGATTTTGTTAACATCTTTAAAAAAGTAAACATATAAATCTATTTTGTTTTGGTGAGAAAATATCCTATTGTATAAAAATCAAAACGAGTTGCACTTTATTTTGCCTTTTTACCACAGTGCCTGTGACTAATTTCCTCCATTTGAACTGCTCATACAAACAAAATACCCAAATGCAAAGACATACTTAGTCAATAATTATTCATAAATGATAGTTACATAACTATGACAAGGGAAGGAACCAAAAAAAAGTATTCATAAGCGAGCTGTAAATTGTACTCAGGGTTTGTTCCGCGTCATACGTTGCTCCATTTAGCAACTATATCGGACGACGCAATAACACTGCCATTGGAGCACATTGCAAGACTGTTTAAATCAACACAAGTAGGGCAGAAGGTTTTAATCTTCTTATCTGTTTCTGGATCAAATACATTATTGCAAGCGACACGTAAAAAAGTCTCTGGCGTTTTCCCACTTCTGGTCGCTGCATACGTTTCGAAAAGGGACATTGGACTTCGGATTTCGGATTTTCAGATACCAGGCAATGATACTGGGAGTGCAGTGGCAAATATAATGGGCATTAAATCCATGTATTTAATAACACGTTTTACATTATCATGTCTAGCTGTATTACAGGGGTTCATGTATCTGAAGCTATATTCTGTTGCCTGACGTCAAATGTTTCCTTGTTTATTCAAACCGTTCTGCTTTTGGAGTGAGTGAGTGAGTATGGTTTTACGCCGCTTTAGCAACATTCCAGCAATATCACGGCGGGGAACACCAAAAATTGGCTTCACACTCTGCTTTTGGACATTAATATAACATGGATTGATAAGACGTATCCTTATCCCGTAACAACGGGGCGTTACAGCACAGAGGTATTCATGGAATGTACCCGCATGTGCACAACTACCTGGCAGGCAGCCATCGGTCATGCTATATAAAGAATCACGTCACTACACATAGGACAGTCCTAGTTTCTCTTTCCTTATGCATTGTATAATAAGGCGTGTTGAGGACATAGCCACGCAGCAGACATGAGTAGACAGAGCTATGGATAGGGAAGACAGAGAGGTGGCAGGTCCGTACTTCACGGGGAAGAACAAGGCACTGAAGCTCACTGAAGTGTTGGAGATACTGGAGAACCCTGACGACACACGGGCTATAGTAACACCCCCTGCTAAACCCCATGGAGGAGACGGGTACTTGTACAGGGTGGAGGCAGACTCGGCGGAAGGTAGGTTAAAGAGTGCATGTGAAGGTTAAAAATGAATAAAAATGCATAATCTCATGAGTTAATAAAGGGAGAATTAATAATGAAATTAGTATTAATGAAACACTAAATGTGATTATTTGTATTATTTATTGTAATGTGACATGTTGTGGGATGTGGTGTGATGGGGTCGTATGGATGGGTATTGGGAGCAAGTAGCAGGTGTCAATTAGTCAATGGAGCCACAGACCAGTGAAGATCAGGCTCACTGACTTGGTTGATGCATGTCGTCGATCCCAATTGCGTGTATCGATGCTCATGATATCAATCACTGGATTGTCTGGTCCAGACTCGATTATTTACAGACCGCCGTCATACAGCTGGTCTATTACTTGGTGCGGCGTTAAACCAAAAAACAAAAAAAACAAACAAAAAAAACGGAGCGGCAATTAGAAGGAGGGAAGTCATTGTATCTAAAATAGACGTGGGCTCGAATCTCAGATTGTTCATTTATGTGATTCTAGGCTTGTAAACGTCGATGACCTATGAAGATCTACGCCACTTTACGCCATTAATCCACTTTACCAAATGTTACTTTACTCATGCTTTAGCCTTCACAATGTAGAGATGAATAGCGACCTACTAGACCAACTGATCCCTATGAAAAATACAAATATAGTTGACTAAACGTTCACATACTAGCATGCTGTGATCGCGATCGTGATATCAGTTACATTTACACACACTTAAGGTTTAAATATAACCCGCTATTGACACAGTCAACACGTAACATAGGAATGACAGCTTATCTCTCGCACTTTGTGGCCATGAGCCGGATCTTGCAAGGGAATATACGTACTCGTGTTACCTGTAATGAAAAAAACGTTCCCGACTGCAACTCGTAAATAGCACCCCGATCTGAGGCCATGCAACGCACAACCAGGCTCTTTGTATTGATTCAGGTTGCCGATCAATGCACGTAGCTAGGCAGTGATAATGAAAACATTGCACGCTAAATAGCATTGGCAGTTTCTCTTTTCAAACGCTGCTTTTGATGCAGAAAAACAAAACAACTAAAGTATCGCACTTAAAGAACATACGAGGCAGTTGATTGTCAATGTGTTGATGTTTTGGGCCGAAGGCTATTCAAATATTCACTAAGAAAGTTTGATTGCATGTGCGGTACTGATCAGGTAGCAGATGCACTGTAAATCCCTTGTACATAATATTGTGGCAACATTATTTAACATTGTGATATTTTTTACATTGTCTCATATTTACAAGTTTCAATTCATTCATAAATTAGAACGTGTTCTTGTCATCTTTGGTTTGAAGAAAGCCACCTTGAATTTAATTGTAAACACACTTACAATTTGTGTCGACTTAGAACCTTTTAAATTTGGATTTAGACTGTTTGCCGTGAACAACGTGACATCCAGATTAGTCATTAGTAGACACTGTCTATATCCTTCACATTGTGTCCTTAATAGTATTTCGTTATTGATCATTCTGTTTGATGGTGGACGTGGATGTAGGCTTGATTCTGTGTTTATATTAAATTGTGCTCATTGCAGCAGATACTATAAACCAGAAAACATTGAATCAACTAACGCGAATTTTACGGGGAAAACATGATCGAATCTGTATGTATATTATATGAATTATTTTTATTGCAGCAGATCCAAAATATATAACCCAAATATATATCCCAAATATATAACCGTAACTAACGCCTAACCGACCGAAAAGACGTCTTGTAATCATTAAGTTATTGACATTTGTAATTCATTTCGTCTTGCTCTACAGACTCCTGGAAAAATGACAACTACTACTTCAAGCATAATGGTCCTCGTGAACAGCCTAAACCTTCACCCAAGGTTCTCAAGCAGTACTTCGTGGCTTATAAAAGTAATGGCAGCACCACCAAGGCTTTTAAACGACAGGCATACAACTTGCTCGAGGGAGACGTGAAATATATGTTAGTACACTACATTGGGAAATGCACAGTAGCATTATCCGATCCAAAATATGAGAAGCGTTTGAATACAGCCCTCCACCATGAATCCCAGATAGTGAACAGTTACGCGAGAATAGCTGGTTCTGGAGATGAAGATGGTGGAGATTGGGAGACCAGGGATATGGAATGTGATCATGATCGTGCAAATACTAACTCTCCTACATTCCTGGCTTCCTTAGATGAAGTTAGCTCAAGGAAAAGGACACATGACCCTGATATGGTAAATCGTGTGAAATCTCCTAAACGTTCAGAAAACGAAAAAGTAATAGAAAACAATTTGATGGACATAACCACCGAATGTGTTAGTCATCAACATGATGAAAGAGCGACCAACCTCAAGTCACTCACCGAATATTTGCTGAACAAACGTACTCATATCGTTATCGCAAGACGTGTGCTGAACCAGACAAAATACTGGGAGAAAAGCACCAGCTTTTCTACCTTTGACAGTCCATGTTTATCATTAATCGCTGACATCGACTGTAAATGGAGAAATGACCTCACAGAAGTCAGTGGCAGGTTGAAATGGTCACGACTTAGCCCGGATGGTTCTCGGCGAAAGACCAGTGCAAGGATACGTATCACAGACTGGTATCTACTGTCATAGTAGGTGCATATCACATGAAGACGGACATCACAGAGTTTGTTGACACCCTCTATATGTAGCCATCACATGTGATGGGTGACAACGCCATAACAGATGACGACGATGGGACGGATCCTCAGATGTGCAAGGTGGGGCCCCACAACATACAGAGGAATCATCTCCTCGATCAAACAGCATGGCTTGGCGATGAGGTAATTTGGACAAATCAAAGGTACAAAATCGACCAGGGCAACCTTCCTTCTCGGTCGTGGTCGGTCAAATGTCAAATAATGATATCAGGAATAACATTATTAAAGATGAAAATTGTACAATATTGATAGATGATAAAAAACCCATTTGTTCCAATAGTTGAAATTGCTCACAGACCAAGTAACATTAACTCGCTCAATCGTTATTTGAGCAGTTCAGACAGGATATATGTTGCCATAATGTTTTTCTAAATTGCTGGTTGGAACACGTGACGAAGGGGTTTTGTATACAGTAAACTACGGTTATAACGAACTCAAAGGGACTGCTAATTTTAGTTCGTTATAACCGTAGTTTGTTATAAGCATATATACAGCATAACTACAGCAAATAGTCGGGACCAAAAAAGTAAGTTCGTTATATCCGTCAGGTTGTTATAAGCGTGTTCTTTATGACCGTAGTTTTATCTCCATTGAAGGTGATGAATGCATACATGCATGTCCTGAAGACCACGTGGAATAGGATCCACATCCTCCACTGCGCTGTACTTGATTCCTTCCTTGTCAACCATTGGGAGAAAGACGAGTATGACGTGCACCCATGAAAGGTATGGACGAGCATAGTCATGTACATTGTATAAAGGCATGAGTAAAGTACTGGTATTAGGTTTTCGTCCAAAGATGGAAATTAAAGAGACATTTGAAGATGTTCGATTCGGTTATGGATCCTTGTTTAGCATCTACTTTAGGCTCTATGATATATGAGGTCAGTTTTGTAGACAGTTCATCAAAGGTCTAGAGCAGCAGTTTTCCTTTTTCAAGAATATCCTCACTGGACATATGTCAACATGCTATGTACAGTAAACTACGGTTGTAACGAGGTTTAATGGCCGCTTTGAACAGTGTTCCAATTATTTCACAGTGTGTCAGATTAATGTGGGAGGAAAGCAAGAAGTGATGCAGGTCTCAGACATTTACCACTTTGGTTATTGAGTTTGAAATGTTCAATATCATCGCCATTTTAGCATGTATCCAAATCAGAGGAAAGTATTCGTATTGATATGCTAATATCAGTAAACTTGGTCAAATGGAAAAGAAATTATTGTAAATTATAACACAGTAGTCTGTAGATAGACATACGTCTATGTGGTTAAAGAGCATCAAATGAATCTTGCTTGATCAGGGTAAAACATTCAAGACCTCATATTTTCTTTTCACCAAAACCTTTACTGAACCCTTTCCACATTCTAGCTTGTCCCCATCTCAGTGGAGCTCCTTTTTTAAATATAAATGTATGTGCTTCTTTCCTTTTTTGGAGACCAGGCATTAGTCTGAAAAGCATTAAAATGTTTGGTTTGCATCAGTGACAAGCCCGATGCAATTCCATGTTTTGACTTGTACAATAATTATGTCCCTGTGTTTCTCGGGCGACCGGTTGACTTGTCTTTGCATGTGTTTGTGACGGGTGCCACCGGTGGACAGAATACGGTCACCTTTTTGCGAACTGGTATTGTCACTATTTGCCAGTGATTTATTAGCACATGCTCGTGATATGGTCGGTATCATTCAAGGTGTTTGTTTTAATTATGGCAATGATTTTGCGGATTTATTTTATATTAGGAAGAACTTGGAACTTACACGTGGATCCTGATGCCAGTGAACATGCCACTGAATCAACACTGGGTGCTTCTGGTCGCCAATGCCCAGGATGGAGCAGTGGGCGTGGTCAACTCTAAGCCTGCCCTTGATGTAGGGGACAAACTTATACAAAATTGGAGGTAATTTGAGGGCGTGGCCAGCTATATGTAGAGATAAATCTTTATCATCCAAAACTGATATAGCTTGGGTGAGATCAAGTGATATATATATTGCAAATATGTTGCAGCAATATCTACATCACAATGTTTGCAGACCATAGTGACGTCACTGGTTATCATGACGTCACAAATGACATCACTAATGACTGCTACTGAAGCTGTTAGCAATACTTTTTACACTTGATACACTGCTTATTACTGTCTATAAGCTGAAACAGCTGGCAGAATGATGTTGGATGATAAATTAATTCTCACCCTTGTGTCCTTTGATATGAAATATATCAACACTCGTTGATATTTTTACTCTTGGAGAGATTCTCTATGTACAACACTAAGTAGGCGGACCGAACAGGTGATGTGGTCAGCTCCCAGCCTACAATTGATGAAGACTACTGCGCTGACCAGAGCTGAGGTACACACTGATGAATGTCTGCTACCAATTTGGAAACAAAAGCTGCAATCTGCCTCAGCTACAAACGTGCAGTTATTCAGTCCTAAATGTATAGCGCTAGGTTATAGGTTGGTTTGAGGCAGCGGTATCAAATAGAGGTCGTAAACTATATCCTATATCTATTTTAGAAAATATACACGCAGTTTGAGGAGAGGTGATGGGTCAGTGGTCACATGGACAAAGAAAGAATATCCAGTACTGAGTCAAAGAGATGGACACAGCTGTGGGTTGTTTGTGAATATGGTACGTGAGCTAGATGAGACGATATATGAATCTCTTTCATAATTGAATAATATCAATTATAAGAGCATATGCAGCAAAACATGCTGAATTGCTACTATTTAATATACAGTCTAAATTTCTCCACATTTACTATTTTTTCACTAAATCTTCTGAAATTCCACCCAGCACGGGAACTATATTACAAATGTCAATCGCATGAGCATGCTCTTGGGTACTTACCATTCAAAAAATTCATGATCAAAACTGAATATTTCTAGTAGTATCTTAATCAGTATTAATATACTGATCCGTTTCTACGATATGTGTTTACTTAAATTTCCATAGTTCTAAAAAGTTTTGGGATACAGTACGTTTGTATTAAAAACAAAAGCAAAATGACAATGTGGACTTTTATTTTTAAATATAATATATTTCTATGTGTACAGTGTATTCTGGCACTCTAAATCGAGATTCAACGGGATCATGCTGTTGGAAAAGTCTCTGAGTGAGTGAGTGAGCGAGCGAGCATGGTTTCACGCCACCTTTAGCAATGTTCCAGCAATAGCGCGGCAGGGGACCCTAGAAATGGGCTTCAAACATTGTACCCGGGAATTGAACCCGGATCTTCGGCGTGATGAGTGAAAGCTTTGACCACTGGGCTACCCCCACCCCCTGACCTGATATGAGACCGTATACCGTCAGTAACAGCCATCTTGGATTTTCATACACCCACTTCACATATTTCACAAGAATATTCTGGTACAGAAATCCGTTATTTGACACGGTTTTGTGAATTAATAAAATTAATTGTGATGTGCAAAGACATCAATTTTAAAAACAACTACGTTCGTGACTTTATTACTAAAATTATAGAGGAAAAAGGCTCACAACAGAGGTCACTGATTTACAAATACCAACGTCATTGAACATAATATAGGATGACGTCACAACCAAGAAACGCGACGCCAATGACGTCACATAGCAGTAGACCATATATAAGTCCATTGTTAGGGATAAGCAGACTGCTATCAAATTACAGTTGACACCAGACTCCTATTAACATAGGTCAGTTTTATTATAATTATATCTTGTTTAAACGTTAAGTGCATTATTTATTCCATTGTAAACGTTTGTGATTACATTAGAGGGTTGTATCGGAAACACGCCTTGCCCAATATTTTTCTCCTTACCTAATATGACACCGTATACTGCCACTAGAGACACCTTAGGGGTCAAACACTGAAGAACAGTGCTTTGTTTTTTTTGTCAATTATTCGTCACCAGTGGCGCTATATTGTTACAGGCAGCAGAAGCTGTACTATCGGAGGTGCCTCCCAGTGTCATGAGAAGCTGCCACACTGTCTGGTACAGGAAGTACATCTGGCGCAGGTTGCGAGAATATGCTGGTGAACATATACCGCCTGATACTGACACACATAGTGAGTATAAATATTGTTTTCCAAATATACCTCAAAACCTAAATACATACTAAAGACAAAACCCATTCGATATTCATAAAAAACCAAATCGCTGGTAAAATCAGTTGACTATATCATGCGCATGTGTTTATGAATCACTATCAAATAGTGTGTTCACGACAAGGTGAGAATATCCTGCCAATAGCAATATATATCACAACAAAACAAGAATGTCCAAACCCACGTATCACTGGGCGTACTTCTTATGTCAGCAAACCTTATTCGTTTCCAGCTAAATCTAGCATTGTCGTACAACTATTCTGTACTGGAAGACGCAAGGTGTTAGGGAAAATTCATAAAGCGGTTTTATTGAAGAATGTTCATAGTTGTTTTACGCCGCCCTAAGCAGTGTCCCAGCTCTATGACGGCGGTCTGTAAATAAATGGACAAGACGATCCAGTGACAGTATTAATATCATGAGCAATTGGGATACGATGACATGTATCAACCAAGTCAGCGAGCCTGACCACCCGATCCCGCCGCCTCTAACGACAAGCACAGTCGCCTTTTACGGCAAGCATGGGTTGCTAATATTTGTTACATGTGTTGTGCAAAGACTGAATACCAAACATGTTGATGGTTAGGTTTTAAGTAATTCAATACAACTACTGATATATAAATATATTAGACAAATTGCTTTAAAATGCTTAGAGACATTAACGTGAGTTATTAGATCGACATATTGTGGATTGAATCCGCTGCTGGCTTGTTTCCAGCTATTGGAAAATCCTAAAAACGAATAGCAAATAATTCGCCGGTCGGTCATCACCACAACGAGGATTCTCTGTATCAGTTCTGGTGTTGCTGACTTCACAGGCCTTCGAGGGCGGGGGTCGTCTTCAAGGCACTCCCTGTTACGTTCAAACTCTGCTGCCTAACACGTTATGTTGGCAAAGAAGGGACATACTTCCCCAGTGCTGTATTCATATCTTCATGGATGGCTTTTGGCGTTGTTATATAAATCCTTTTTTTTCTGCAATTCCACTTGACTGCACTTTCCTAAAATGTGTCCATTCCAAAGGCCACAGCGCTCTGCCTGTTTTAATAACAGCAACACAATTTGCATCGTGTAATGTGCACAACAATTTTTTACTTGTGGACAATTCCTTCTATCAGAGGCTCAGAAATCAGGCAACCACCGTTGCCGACACATTGCTGACAGAATATTGTCATTCACTCACTCATTCACTTATTATTCACATGCTATTGATGATGAAGTAACGACTGGCATTATTTCAATTGTTGAAGTGAAATATAAAAGCAGGTACATCATACATGTTACAGGTTTTATAAAAAATTTGTGTGTGTATTATTTCTTGTTATTCAAGCACTAGTGAAGCCTGGCGAACTGGGAAGTGTCCGGACCTCAATATTCGCAATGGGCAAAAACTTAATATTGATACTGCAATTGGAGGATATGTAACCAATCACGATTTGGGTGTGGGTAATGAAAAAGGGAGACAACTATCAAAATATACTGAACGACAAAAGTTCCTGTGACATTGAATAAGATTTAATGCAAAGTAATGCTTTTTACAAAATCTGAAACAATTTCGGTATGGAACAGATAAAAGACTCCTGTAAGTGTTCAAATGGTTTAATTTGCCATACTGACTTCAGAAAATGCGTGATTTAATAAAAAAACAGAACATGTCAACTTACAAATCAATAGCGTGTGTGTCCACCTCTGGTTGCGATGCAGGCAACACATCTTCGTCTCATGGAATGGACCAGGCGTCGCACAAAGTCTTGTGGGATATCTGTCCATAAATGCTGGAGCATGTTTCGAAGTTCCTGGAGTGTCTGTGGAATACGTGGTTGACGTCAAAGGCGCCGATCCATCTCATCCCACATGTGATCGTTGGTGAGAGATCAGGGGAGCGAGCCGGCCAGGGGATGACATTCACGTTGTTTTGTTGAAGAGAATACTAAACAAGTCGAGCAATATGAGGCCGGGCGTTGTCATGTTGAAAGGTAATGCCTTGGCCATGACGACACAAAAACGTTAGAACAGGGCCGATGATCTCGTCGCGGTAGCGCTGTCCATTGAGATTTCCCTCCACCAGTATCAAACGGGTCCTCAGTCTAGCTGTAATCCCACCCAATGCCATAACGCTGCCGCCCCCGAACCGATCTTCTTCCATGACACAATTATTGACGTAACGTTCACCTCGACGTCGTCACACTCGAATCCGTCCATCGCTGTGGCTGAGGTGAAAACGACTCGTCAGTGAATAGAACTTGTCCCCACTGCATGGCAGTCCAGCGTAGACGCTGTCTGCACCACTGTAGACGTGCTTGACGGTGGTTTCCTGTCAAAATGTGACGTCTAGTGGGTCTTCTGGCAACAATTCCTGCACATCTGAGGCGGAGACGTACGGTTTGTGAAGATATTCGTCGAAGGCCAGGGATGCTTCTTGCAGTCACTCTTGCTGAGTGGAATCGATTTCGTACATGTAGGTGTGTTGTTCGAATCCAGTTGTCGTGTCGATTATTTTCGCGTCTGTTGTCAACGTTGCCATGAACACCAAATGGAATTTCTGTGGACGTTAAATTGTCTTGCAACATCACGTTGACTCGATCCTGCTTCAAGCATACCAATGGCTCGCAGACGCTGATTTTCGCACAGGCATGGCATTTCGTAATGTTGAATAATTGCGTAATTTTGTTGTTTTTCTGAGTGGTTGTCGTCAGCACGATGCTAAACAATGCATAATGTATTACTATATTGAAAACCAAACTTGACTTATTTTAAAAATACACTAAAATATTGATATCACAGGAACTTTTGTTGTTGAGTATATGTTATTAAATTACGTGTTTTGACTTGAACGATATGTTACCATGTTTTGCAGATGACCAATTGACTTGGCTTTGCATGTGTTTGTGACGTGTGTCACCAGCAGGACAGGATATGTTCGCCTTTTCGTAAACACCTGATATCATCACTATTTGCTAAAACATACTCATTATCGGCCATAGAGGATCATCAAATATATGTGATATTTATATGTTGGCAAATGGTGTTTATTGTGGTTGATACATAGATTTACAAAGAAAACAGCATGTACAAAAGCCAAAATCTCTTTAATGTCTATTGTTGTAGTAAACATTGTAAGCGTTAAAATATATAATGATTAAAAGTGTGTTTATTTGAAATATATTGCTAAATGATGAATTAACCTGTTTGGTTCTGTATTTGAAATATCGTTGTCCTTCTTGCAGTGCTTGAGTCTCCATGTGAAAAGCTGACAAATAATCCAGCGTCAACGAATGCCAGAGCGTTTGCGTATACAATAGTCAATACGTCGACCAGCATAGATGATACGAGATACAGTTTGCATAAAGCAGCCAGCCTCGGTGATATTAGACGCATGCACTTGTTGATAGACCAGGGGGAGCCTGTAGTAAGTACCGATGACCGAGGATGGACGCCTTTGCACTGTGCCTGTGAAATCGGTCACGTTGAAGCTGTCTCTGATCTGGTTTCCAGGAGGACGGGCGACGTACAAAATAGAGCTCAACTTACATTGTACAATCCTGTCTTTGGAACGGAGTATATGTGTCTAGCAGGAGCATATCCACTCCACATTGCTTGTTTAAATGGACATGAGAATGTAGCGCACATTTTGATCAATAGCGAGGCAAATGTTGACGACAAAAGTGAAAATGGAACAACAGCTCTTTTACTTGCTTCTATTAACGGACATGAATCTGTAGCTGCACTTCTGATCAAGTGTGGTGCAAGTATTACAGCTGAAGACAATGACGGAGGGACGGCACTACATCAAGCTTGCGTGAATGGACATGAATCTGTAGCCGCACTTCTGATCAAGTGTGGTGCAAGTATTACAGCTGAAGACAATGACGGAGGGACGGCACTACATTTAGCTTGTGTGAATGGACATGAATCTGTAGCCGCACTGCTGATCAAGAGTGGTGCAAGTATTACAGCTGAGGACAAGGACGGATGGACGGCACTACATATGGCTTGTCAGAACGGACATGAATCTGTAGCCGCACTTCTGATCAAGAATGGTGCAAGTGTTGCAGCAGTAACGACACATGGAGTTACGGCACTATATACAGCTTGTCAGAATGGACATGAATCTGTAGCCGCACTTCTGATCAAGAGTGGTGCAAGTATTACAGCTGAGGACAAGGACGGATGGACGGCACTACATATGGCTTGTCAGAACGGACATGAATCTGTCGCCGCACTTCTGATCAAGAATGGTGCAAGTGTTACAGCTGAAGACAAGGACGGATGGATTAAAGAGAGTAAGTAATAGCCAACTTCAGTACTACTAGAACCGTAATAATGCTTCACTGAACTTTACTGAAGTCAAGAAAGACACGTTGTGCAATTTGTTTACTTTTAATACTACTTGATAACGGGGATATGTCATGCATCAACACACCAGTATTTAATTTTGTAATTCTTAGTGTATTATGTGCTTACATGTATATACCAAGTGAGTGAGTTGGAATGTTTAATTGGTATCAATTTCTTTCAGTGTCTCCAAATAATGTACCCTACTGAATAGTGAAATGTATACCGTTGCAAATATTTGAAACCTTTGTATTATCAACTGCAAGATAATAACATGGTATCCGATTCATAATAAATATTCCTCGGTTCTCACTATTTCCAGCAACATTGAAGATGTTTGGAAACTCTCAAAAACAGCCAGAACTACCCTTGGGAGATATACCAAAACAAGTTTCGCCTTTTGTCAACAATCTGAGCGGGTGTATATCCAATGACAACAACAGAATCCAACATACCAATGTGGAAGCAATGCCTTCTAACACACAATCACCGTCTGCTTGGAGGAAAACTAGCTTCAATGTCCAACAGCAAGGAAGAGAACAGTATTGCACAAGACCAGACCACGGTTACGGTGATACTATAACCTTACAAGTGCCCCCGTGTGTACTGGACAGTCAACCGCCAGGTTGGGTATCTAATATTCCCTTCACACACAGAAACCCCATCGTGCCAAGACCAACGACGGGACCCTCCAATCGAGCCTCCAGGAGGAGTCACCGGCAGTTCCAACACACAGATGAACTGTGGCTTCCCTACAACCACATATCCCCGAACAATACAATCTGTTCCTCCACCATCTGATTTCTTTTCCGCTCTGCAAACGGATATGAACGCTTCCATGCCAGGACAAGTCATGTCTCCCTTGAATGTTATCTCCATTCAGAATCCGCCTGGAATTTCCACACCTACCAGAGGGTGGGCAGCCAATTCCTTTGACAGGAACTTCTCAGTCCCTAGCGGGGCAGTACCAAGGACAACTGGGAATTCTCTGAACTTTCCATTGTAATTAACAGAAAGCACAATTTGGCTCATGCTTGAAGTATATTTTACACACATGGACAATAACATGTATTACCACAACAACAATGAACTAAATTTTCATTCGTTTTACAATTAATCGTTATGATAATGTTGAACTGTGGTCATGTATTTTGTTTCATAACATGTTTCAACGCCATAATGTAGTTGAAAGTTTGTTTCGTAACCATTATGGCACGTGCCAGACCTTACAATCACATTTACTTGTTAAGTACACAGCTAAGACAAAATGGATTTTATTTTTGTTTGTTGTTTTACGCCGCACTCAGCAGTATTCCATCTATATGACGGCAGTCTGTTAATAATCGAATCTGGGCCATCCAATCCATTAACATTATGCGCATCTATCCTGGAGATTGGGATATAACGACACCCATCAACCCAGTCCGCGTACCTGACCACCCGATACCGTTTGCCGTCTTCCTAGAAGAAAGAGTGAGTTGGTTTTTACGTCACTTTTAACAGTATTCCAGTTATATCACGGCGTGTCAGCTTACGTGGGAGGAACGCCAGAAGTGATGCAGGTCTCAGAAGTTTACCACGTCGGCGAAACCCACGAGCCCGGGTATGGTGCTGACAAACCTAGAAACATAATCTGGGCGAACCGGGATTCAAACCCACAATTATAGGTTTCTTGCGTGTCCAAGGGACGCAACTCTGCACAGCGAATCGCGGCGCCTTAGATGACTGGGCCACCCGTGCCCCCTAAAATAAAGAAGCTGAACTGGAACACTAATTTGTAATGTCATTAAACGGAATAACGCTTGGAACTGAGAACATAAGGAGCTAAAAAAAATTTAACAATGAAGATTGTCAAGGTTTGACCCCATTAAAATATAACTACCGCTTGGAGACATAGCTAGCATAGGTTTTTGTCAAACACAGAGTTATGAGTTTTAGGTCTTCCTATAATTCAATCAAAAAGCTTTCAAAGTGCGCAAAACTAGTTTCAGTCGACTATACATAACATAGTCTTTCTGTCACTCTAGGCACTACATTATATCTAGAGCTATATGACAGCAGTCTGTATATGATCAAGTATGGACCAGACAAACCAGTGACTGATGGCGGTTAATGATGACATACAACTAAGTTACTGAGCCTGACATAAAGACATGTTCAAAATTCAGTTTATGTGCGCTGATATCTTCTGTATATGCCTACCAACATTACCTAGGCGTTCTTCCTAGAGAGATGGGGGCACGGGTGTCACAGTAGTCTGAGCCACCGCAGTTCGCTGTGCAGAGTTACGTCCCTTAAGAATGCTAGAAATCTATGATCATGGAATCGAATACCTGTCTTTAAGTTTGTCAGCACCATAACCTGGATCGTGGGTTTCACCAAATTGGTAAACGCCTCAGACCTGAATACTAGTGTCTTTCGTCTTACATACAACTTGAATATTGTTCAAAGTGGTGTCAAACCAACTCACTCACTGTTTGAAAGGGGTATGGTGGTACGTGGTGCTATGCACTGTGCACAGGTTACAAATCAGGTGAAATTAAGCAACGTCGGTGGCGGAGTTTTTGGATGGGTGACTGTTCGGCAGCTTGGCTCCCGAGAGTTTCTAGGGCGTCTGAAGTACGTGTAACACATGTGGCGTCTCCTTGGGCAAATGACTTTGTTCGAATTGTGCCTCTTTTCACCCAGCAGTGAATTGGTACCCGGTAGGATGAGATGGCAATGTGGTTGTTAACCTTCTAGCGCCTAACAGGCAGCTTTGTTTGTATACTCTCCATGGAGCTGAGAATGATTTGAGTGAACACCTTTCAATGTCTAAGCTGAGAGTATGCTTGTGCATGGAAAACAGCGCCATACAAATAACGTGGATTTTATGTCCGCTTTCGGGTTTGATTTTTATTTGTTGCAAGAAGGTCAAAGGAGTTGCCTACCATGTCAATTATCGCAACTGTCCTTGTTTCATGCACAGAGGTTCATATAAACCATGACACGTTTTCTTAAATACTTGTCTGATTTGTATTACTGTTCAATGATATTTAAAATGCTTTGAATAATAAAAAGAAATATTCAGAGAATGTTATTGGTGCCCTTCCGCAAAATTACGAAATGTTATTGAGTTACTTGTGTCTAATACCTGAACATGACCTACTTTCAGTTATGTTATCAATGTCAAATATTGAGTTATAGATTCATTGCCCAAGGGACGCAACTCTGCACAGCGAATCGCGGCGCAGCCGTGCCCCCCGAGTTATAGATTCATGATTGAAATCATTCTTATGGCACCCAATATTTGCTTTTATCCTACGAGTCATAACTGGTTTTGTAAAACTCAAACTAAGTGCATACCTTTAGAAAATAAATACCATGTTGAACATTTATTCTTTTTTGGATTTTTTAAATAAAACTTTAAATGTTTATACGATTTTGTTAAATCATTTCATCTTCTGGGGAGAAGAGGTGGCCTAGTGGTTCAAGCGTCCGTTCGTTCTGGGAGTTCGATTCCCCACATTGGTACATTGTGTGAAACTCAAGGCTGGAATACTAAAAATAAGATTGTGTTCTTTAATCTGATTGGTTGAAAAACATGATTTATATCAATTTGTCTGACTGATAACTGAACTTACTTAAATTAAATTTAAAATGAATAAGTTACCAAGACTAGAACACGCCAGCAGAGACAATATCCGACCCGTGAAGATCCGGTAGAATTAGGTCTTCAGCAACCAATGCCTGCCATAAATGGCGGCTTTGCTTGTCGTAAGACGCGACTAACGGATTGGGTGGTCAGGCTCGCTGAGTTTGTTGATGCATGTCATCGTTTTGTTTGTTATTTAACGCCGCACACAGCAATATTCCAGCTATTTCGCGGCGTGACAGATTAATGTGGGAGGAAAGTCGAAGTGATGCAGGGCTTAGACGTTTACTACATCGGTGAAACCTATCATGAGCATTGATCGATGATATGCGACAACCACGTCAGCTAGCCTGACTACCCGATCCCGTTAGTCGATTGTGACAATAACTAGATATATTTCACCAGTCTATATATAGAATTAAGTGACTCCTGGTGTGCCATTATTCGTTGATTATTAAATGCATCGTGTTGAGGCAAAACTACGTACACGATGTAGGGACAGTTACAGCTTTGTCTTAATAAAACGAAAGATCGATCAAAACGTGATGGTTATGTCTTAATCAAAACCTTATTGCAATATTTTTTTAATTTGAAGTTTACACGATATTCGGCTTTTCCAATGGACGAGAGGTCGGTCACATGACCGCGAAATTGACGTTCATTAGTGTATGAACGACACAATTTGACGTTCATACCTTTTTCACGAGACCGTGTTCTTGAAATCACGTAAACACTGACGAACTACTTCCACATTTCTGGGGAAACCCCTGTGAATTCCCTAGCACGAAAACATGCATAACCGTTCTGATCATTTAGAACCTTTATTCTTGGTCTCAGCGTTTCATTATACATTGAGAAATGTCAGAGAGCGTGACTGCATGATTGTTCACGAATATACTCGCTACGGCCCATCCTAATGAACAAACGAAGAAATGCACATCTAAACTATCGTAGAATCGACTCGATCCTCACCCAGGCTGACACTGACCGTCTCCAGCAATCTATGAATTTACCTTTGTGTCTGTTTGACGCATCTTTATTCACTTTTCAATGATCGGCCAGTTGATCAATGATGACTAACACATGTAACCGCCACAGGTTCATTAACAACTTAGGAAATCTCTCCCGTCACGTTTATCGCGTCGGCCATTTTGACGTCTGCTACTTAATGTAAATTTATTACGACGCACTGTCATTGTGACTGACTTACTGAGGTAATTCTTTACAGACCTTTCTCATCTAATGAGGATATGATTTGAACACATGTGCTGCGTAAGATGTTTCTGAAGAGCAAGTTGTGCATCCATACGCCCATGTCACCTCTCTTTTTGAGGAACTATTTTACTCCGCGATATAGCTGGTTGTTTGGCTGTCAGTGTAAACATGAAGTCACACGTACTAAATAAAATTGTGTTTAGATCTTGGCCTACATCCTTTGAGGTAAGAAATTGTGATAATTGTTTTTACAAGAATTGACCAAGCTCCGACGTTCATACAGTTTGGCCCTCACTCTGTGAAGGTTCATACTCCAATGAACTCACACAAAGTGAAGGTCAATTCTTAATTGAATGCATTGAATTTCATTTCCAAAATATAAACCACATAGTGACCAAGAATTACATCCATCGGGCACTCACATTAAAAAAGGGAAGCCAAATTCTTGGGAATAAGTTTTAAAGACCATCTTTATTTCTAGCCATTTGTTAAATATCTTAGCAAATGGCTGAAGGAACTGGAATTTTTCAGGTCGGGGAAAACCCCCAACTGGTGACAATGAATCCGACTGGTGACAATGAACCCGACTGGTGACAATGAACCATGAACCCGACTTGTGACAATGAACCCGACTGGTGACAATGAACCCAACTGGTGACAATGAACCCAACTGGTGACAATGAACCCAACTGGTGACCATGAACTGAACTGGTGACAATGAACCATGAACCCAACTGGTGACAATGAACCCAACTGGTGACAATGAACCTAACTGAGAATAAACTGGTCCTGTGTGGCTACAAAAACATGCGTTTTTTGTCCGTGCATTGTCTGTACTACTTGGCGCAAGATGGTGGGTATAAAATACATTATGAAAACTTCTTTCATTCATCGATTCTTATAACATTACCCCGTTTGTTGCGCAGGTTATTGTGAACCCGAGTACCCCTTCGCCATTTGGACGGTTCATTCGCGTTACGCCGACTTTCAGAAAAAATTATTCGCGTTACGCGGTTTTTCTTTGATGTGTGCGTGTTATTTTAACACGAGGTTGTTACAAGCACGCAATGAATGGTGTTTTTGGATGGTGTTCACGACACATTCTAACAGTAGAAGCATAACAGATTTATGATGCATTTTGTGTCGTTTATTCCACACATTATATTGTATCAAAAGCAGCGACATGACAAATTTCAATTTGGTACAACGAACAGCACATGATTTACATGATTTATAACATTTTTTTAACTTGATTAGAATGGCTGATGCAACATCGGCAGAGTGGATGATGTCGATTTCTTGCCTCTCCAGACCTTATCTTCAAATTGGCGATCTTGCGGTCGACTTCTGGATATTTCTTCTTCTTGGGACGTCTTTTCTGCCCTGCTTCATACTGCACTCTGAATGTCCGATGACTTCTGCTCTTTGTAAAGGAAGGTAATCATCTCGAAAATGTTGGGATGTGCCTTTCACGTGATCTTCAG